GATGCACTTGTAACCATGAGTATGATTGGGCTATGTATAGAGTAGTTCTGGTGCACTTGTAACCACGAGTATGATCGGACGTATACATACATGTAGATTGTAGAGGTACTGTAGTTCTGACGTGAGGTGTAGTATGGGAATGTGATCAACGCTAAGGTTCTATTCAAAGCGGGTAACCATAGCAAAGAAGTTGTCAGTCAGCAAGTATGAGGGAAGCATTTCAGATTAATGGTAGACGTTACCTTGAACGAACAACACTCTTTTTTCCAACCTTGTTTATTCCTTAACCTTGTCTAACCTCAGGTAGCATCAGTTACCTTAGCCAGGAGATTTTGTTTTAGTTTGATTGAGACCCTGTTACATGAGTACATTTGGCTTAAAGCAACACGATTAATGCATTAAACATTACTGGCGCATGTCCAAATCAAGAACAACGTTTACAGTTGGTTGATGGTAATCGTGGTAATGATATAAATAGGTATTGATGACAACAATAAACAAGCTAAAACATCGTACGTATTGACAGTAGACGCATTATACAGAATACTAATTGATAGCAGTGTTATATGAGCAAAACAAATATGTGAACAGTTTTTACCGAGAACGTGTTTTTGCAGTGTATTTCAACACTTTCTGACTGGTTATCTATGGTTTGCTTTTTTCATGTCTTCTGAAAAGGATATTGGTCTAAGAAAGAAACTAATGATGAAATTTACTGAGATATCACTTATATGTGAAGATACGTTTTCAACATTTTTTAACAATCTTAACCGTCGACATTGCAACCGTGGGAATGTTCACAGCTGAATGAACGACCTAAACCTTAAACTAACCCCATTATCAAGGTACATACGTATGTAACCGCATGATATACTAAATATTCCAAACAACAACGCTACCATATTGGGATTATTCTTAGTTCCAATATGTCTTGGCATTTTCATATTGACAGTATTGTTTCTAAAGCTTTCAAAAATGTTAACCTATTTAGGGCCTTGAAATTTAGATTACCCCGCCATGTATTGGAAAAAATATACAAGTCTTTCATACGTTCATTGTTGGAATATGCTGACGTTGTCTGGCACGGGTGCACAATCGAGGAATCAAACCTCATAGAAAGAGTTCAGTATCATTGCTCCCTCGTTGTGGCTGGTGCCACAAAAGGGTCCTCATATTCTTTAATTTGTCAAGAGCTCGGCTGGGAGACTCTGTCCGAAAGGCGACACATTCATCGCCTATTACTATTTCATAACATTGTAAACGGATGTACTCGGGAATATCTTTCAGATTTACTTCCATGTACAATTACTGCTACTTCTATCTACTCGTACAATCTGAGAAACAGTAGTAATCTGAGAACCATCAAATTTTCTACCAATCGTTTTGGAAAGTCTTTTATACCATATTCCATCACTGGATGGAACAACCTGAATTTAGAAATCCGTACTCTTTCGTATCCAAAATTTCGTTCAAATCTTTTCAAATCGGTACGTCCTGTAAAGTTAAACTATTTTAGCTTTGGTTCTCGTTATTCCTGTATTCTCATTACCCGACTTCGTCTGGGCACCTGCAGCTTGAATCACAGTCTTTATACCCGAGGTCTTGTTACAAGTCCATCCTGTAGCTGCGGGTGTCCATATGAAACGATTGCTCATTATTTATTGCACTGCCCTATATACACCTACCAGCGCTTAGTCCTTTTTGGCAAGCTTTCAAGCATACTTGGTAATATTGTTGATTTAAACACTCTTTCTGATAATTCCATACAATATTTAGTTCTTCGCGGTAGTTTCCTTTGTTCGTATGACACCAACTGCAAAATAATGTTAGCCGTACAAAATTATATATTAGAAACAAAAAGATTCTAACTGTATGTGTTTTCTGGGATGGGAGGATTGTTACTCACGCGAGGTCTCATGTATTTTTAAATGTCTTGTAAAATATTTTTCTTTCATTGTAAAAGTGGCTGCGAGAATATAAGTTGTACCTAACTTGAGTTCGCAGTCACTTCGTCCATGTCTTTTCATTTGTAATTCTCATTGAGTTTCTGAATAAAAAAAAAACAAAAACAAAAACAAAAAAACAACGCTACCTGTTATTTCAAACATGCCGATTATACGGAGGACACCTTGCTACTGAAAGACTTGTAGTTTTGCAATATATTACAGCGGTCTTTATGATTTTATGCTAGATAATATTAAGTTATGGAGAGATCAAAAGTTACTAAAATATAGCTTCTGCAGAGAAAACAATATGTACATGTATTATGGATATTTCTATCAAATTTGACCTATATACTTCCCCATAATACCCCGAAATAACATACTAGCCTATTATCAACACATGCAGCACAAATGTAGTATGTACATGTTGGCCTCTGTTGAACCCATACGGCCTCGCTCCAAGTCACTGACACAGGACTATCTGCTTGGATACCGTACTATATATATCCGAATTGAGCGTCCTTTCTTAGTTTCTAGACTATAGCACCACCGGTGCCCTATTGTATACAGCCGTCACGCCACAACCATACAACACCGGTCAGATTACAACCGGAGAACTCGACGTGGTTTACACTGCCTTCGGACGGGTGCCTATTTACTCAGTGCCGCACCATTTCGTAACAATTAAGCCTCGCTGACTACAAGCATGTCTTGCTAGGCAAGCGTGGAAGTGTGGGGCCTGCAAGCGGCACGGAAACAAGCGTACATCGGAGGTTCTCACCAAGGTAAGCCCTAGAACCGCGTCGTGAGGTAACGTTTAGAGGGGATCGGTAGGAATCTATGTATGTGGTACACGTAAACAAGATTTCTACCTCTATAGAGTATATCGTAGTATAGTTATGAGAAGAAAAAGGGGGCGTTTCAACCTCAGTAGTCTCTAAACTACCCGAATTACTGCATGAATGTTCTCGCCCACACATGTACGCACTACCCAATACTACCCCCTTCTCCCCAACGGCCCCCTTCTCTGTTTATGTTTTTGTTTTAACAAACTTGACGGTTTATTGTGGTCGTCAATCATGTAAAATTGAGAGCTAGATCGTGTTCCCTACCAGCAAAACATATCGTCTTCTTAACCACAGTGGAGTGAAGTGTTTACAGTTTACAGGCATAAAAGGTATTTGTTTTTGCAAAGATGAAGCACTTTTCGTCCCGTTAACTAAAGTGGATTCGTAAAACGCAGTGTATATAATTTGTTAAAATACGTCGAACCGTCGTAGCTGTATTATATTGTCGTAGGTCGTCGTACGATTTTGATGCCGAAGGATTTAGAAGCAGGCTTTGGCAGAAACAAACGCCGACCAGGATCTAAGTACGACAACGTTCACAATTGGTTTTCGTAACAAGACAACTACATGTCGATCTGCTATGGAATATGCAGGAGTATCAAAAGAATGCCCTGAGTTTGCGATCGAATGACGACCTTACGATGGATGTGAGCGAGTCCTTACCAAAAATGAATTATGCCAAAAAGTCAAAAAGGTTTCACAAAATCGGGTCGTTTAATCAGATCCAGCTCTGTTAGTGGCAGTTAATCATTAGATTTCCTCCTCTCTTTCGGTAATCATTTCAAAAATGTAAAACAAAATTTTCCTAAAGGATTCCGATCTACAATCTTTTGTTCTGCCACACCGGAATAAGAAAGGCATTTGATGAAAAGAAAACACCTGTTAAGAGCCGCACGCTTCGTAGATTCTTATTGTTAAGTCTTTTAAAGCCCAACTTTTGTTCGAGACGGTCGGACGAACGTAGTGCCTGTGTGCTAATTAGGTTACCAACCAATAACTTCATTTAGAGGCATTGAAAGGGTTTGAGCAAATAATCTGTCCTTCTGTTTGGGTGTCTTGCTTGACAGACCCCTCCCCCCATAGTTACATCGTACCTTGTAGATATAAGACATCACTACGGAGGGCACCCTGGTCTTGTAAGGTAAGATTGATTTCTGATCTATGATGAAGGAACTAGTACATTGGAAAGTGTGTAAAGTTTGAAGATAAAAAGAAATACGAAGTTCTGGTAACTTTGCCCTCTTCCTATTGGTTGATATTTATCTGTATCTTTATAGCCGGTATAACCGTAACACACCAACGTAACACACCGACGTAACACACCAGCTAGACCAGCTAAGTGCTAGACTTGAGCATTTTTCTCGTATTTGCTTTTGGTGATGTTTTGGCTTGTTTGTACACCATCAACAGTGTACGGTGTACTGCTCTTGAGCGACGGAAAGGAAGTTCTAGTCCATTTACATTGTGTAATTTGCATGCTTGAAGTGGTTTGCATGGGTAAGTCGCTAAGGACAAAATGTAGGGGAACGATGGTAGGGGACGTGTGACGCACAAACACAGGAAAACGCTGGACACGCTAAACTCTACATGATCCGGATCGTTCATCAGTTTAGATAGCCTCCTTTCCAGGCCCTTCGCTACGGCGTTAATTTTGACATTGTCGTCTGTTTTTCTTGATGAAGTGCGGTTTTCACCGTGCTATTTTCCGGTGTGCTAGTTTTATGTACTATTTGTTTCAACGTCTTCTTTCCCAAAATGATAACGAAACGGAACTCATCTGCAAATGTAGTGCGCAATTATCAGCAGAAAACGGCTATGTTAAAACAGCCGTCGTAGTAGAGCCTGTATTTGAGACTGTAGTTTGCCCCGTTTGTTGTTATGGGGTTATGTGAGAACGTAGTACATGTATATGGGTGCATGGTTTTTCGTAGTTCGTAGTCACTCACAAAGGACGAAAATACTTACATAGAATGAACCAAAACAACAAATGTTTTGGGAGATCGGGCTTAGTCTTAGATACACCCGATAAAACGTACTTATATATGTAGTATTCTAGCCTTTCTTTAGACTACCAACCAACCTAGGCCCACTTACTGTTTGCGACAATGGAAGAAAATCCCTTGCATCATGCATGAACAATCACCCAACACTAGCTTAAATCCAGTTTTCCTGTACGTATGAATGAAAATCTCTTTTTAATCAAGTGTACAAGGCGGGGTGATCCTCTCCAAAGCCCCGTGAATTACAGTCCATACAGGTGCAGTTTTTTTCTATCGATCACGTATCATTCTTGGCGTCACATCTTTAAGCAACAGACAATACGAATCATGTACTGCCTACTTGTTAACTTTCACGACTTTCTCGAAGTGGTTTCCACTTAATAAACCTACTAGATGATAGTCACCTGGAATATATACATTGTACTAGATATATTGTGTTCTAATATTTTGAGGAAAAGTACTGAATCAATATACATATCTACATAACAGAAGAAGTAAAAGAGTACAGAACCAAAGATCCGGTTTGAGTTATGAGTTTTAGCTTGCCAGACAAATAAAATGGCGTGTGAGCTGTCAAACAATGTATTCAACTGTACAGCGGCTTGAAAACCTGCCGAACAGAACTGTCGTCTGATGACTGAAGACATCACAACACACTTTGAACCTTATCACATTCGTGATGATCTGCTTCGAAATGTGATTGAACAATCTTTTAAATAGCATTCTTAAAACATATAGAGATTGTATTGAATAACCTACACCTTTACACGAAAACTTGTAGTACATTTACTATGTTCTGACAGTATTATGCTGTTTTAAACAGGAGGGGAGAGCTTGGTTGTCACTGGCTGTGCTGAACTAGGAATCTACACAACAATGGTAGGGTACATCTTGTGCGTCGTGTAATAGATGTTTCACAATCGGAAAAGACCATCTGTGTACGTGCTTGTGCGAGCTTGTGCGTGTATGCTTGTGGTGTGTGTGTGTGTGTGTGTGTGTGTGTGTGTGTGTGTGTGTGTGTGTGTGTGTGTGTGTGTGTGTGTGTGTGTGTGTGTGTGTGTGCTAGAGAGAGAGAGAGAGAGAGAATTGCACATAGTGTACCATCGTTTTCAATTTCTTAATGAACTTTTTTCCGTAAAACAATCCTTTGATTTTTATTGTCACAGGCTGACCAGTTGAGTGAAGACCGCATTAAGGGTAAGTTTTCTTCAGATCTAATACTAGTAGCTTGCAAAACCACCTTCTAGTACATTCATCTATGCGGGAGGGTACATTACTACAGTTAATACATTTGACAAGTACTAGTAAACAAACATTTTAAAGCATAAACGAACAATCACAAATGTTTTGGAAGGTCGCGTGGTGTAAAGGAAAATAAAAATAGCTAGAAAGGTAGCATTTGCAAAGCAAATGCATAATGTTTACGTTCGCATATGGTGTGCTCTGTTAATTCTCAAACACATTCATATATATGGTCAGACAGGAGTCACAGGAGTCTAAATCCCTCCTGCTATAAAATTGCAACATGATGTAACCCAACACTAGTTACCATGGTAACAGACGGTCTGGTTCAGATCATTGACCTTTTTGGTTTGGAGAAGAAGAAAAGGAGGAAACAGAGCAAAAACAATATGTTTTCCTTCGGTATACATAAATACTTATCCTACTGAACTGTAGGTATTTCATGTTGTAAATGTTGATCTCCGATTCTGACCGTCCACAGAGCTGCAGGACGCGTTCCTGGTGTTTGATAAGGACGGGGACGGGATGATCAACACCTCGGAGCTGGCCACGGTCATGCGGTCCCTGGGCATGAACCCGACCGAGGCAGAGATACAGGACATGATGGCGGAGATGGATGCCGATGGTACGCGAAACGTCCCATTTATGCAAATTAGGCATGTTCATGAATGTATATCTTAGATGTACTACATGTATGTAGTATACTGTAGGGACAAGTTCTTTCCGTCTTTGTACTTATCATCGTTGTTAGATTCACTTGCGGTTAGCCTTCGAGCAGGTATTTGCAATAAAGTTATCATTATTAGTTTATTGCTACATGTATTAGTATGATAAGTTACGATTTAATTTACAGGGGATTGTACATTTGTGTCTTGCAGGTAGCGGTGAGATTGACTTTGATGAGTTCCTGGGGCTGATGGGACAGAGGATGCAGGATGTGGACGAGGAAGAGGAGCTCAAAAATGCCTTCAAAGTGCGTCTAGATCTGTTGCGTATTTAATCATGTACGAAGGCCCAAAGTGACATGTTTCGCTAGCCTCTACCAGGCTTCAGAAGTGGATGAAAAGGGTAGAATTGGCCAAATAGACAAGTAACAGTCTAGGAGAGTTTAACAGTCAGCTAAAGGAGATGGGTTGCTACTATGATGTGGAAACCACTCTCTTCCCATTCCTAGAGAAATTTTGACGGAATGAAAAAAAAGGCCATGAACTAAAACATTTTATTATAATGGCAGGTTTATCAACAGTCTTCGCGTTACGTCAGTGAAGGTTAGACATCCAGGTAATAAGATACGTTAAAAACAGTTACTCAAGCAAGTGGATATGATTTTGGAAACGGTCAGACGTTTCAGTAGCATCCACTACCTTTCGTCAGTGACACTGAAGAGTTCTCGAATTCGGCAGATTTGTAAACACGAACTATACCTTGCTATAGTAACTTTCTTTCGCGAGTCTTCATGTTGTTTCCTGCCCTCCCAGACGTTTGATAAAGACGGCGACGGTTACATCACCCCCGCGGAGCTGCGTGTGGTGATGACGAACCTGGGGGAGAAACTGACGGATGACGAGGTGGACGAGATGATCCATGACGCCGACCAGGACGGAGACGGCAAGATCGACTACGATGGTGAACAATTATCTTTCATTCCAATATCTAATGTCAAGACATGGTGACGGCACACTTAGCCTGGGTTCCATACCCATAACACGCTAGGCCCAAGTGGAGGTAGCTACCGTGCCTAACAGGGGGTTGTGGTATAATTTCATTGGGGAAATGTTGGCCATGGAGTCAAGAAACTGGCCTGTGTAGGCCCTGGAAACAGTCTGGCATCCAGGCTACGACGCACTCGAGTTTTCAACTTATTTTCATGCCGCCACAAACAATGTTATCTTCTCCTCTCCTTCCTATAGTATTATTTTTTGACCTTATCGTATCTTCATGTGGCATATTGTAAGGGTGTGTATCTGACCTGTAAACTCTATTTTTGATACCTACTAGTGAAGAATCATGAATGATAGTTACGATCTTTTCCTCTCGGTAAGTCTACAACCAACTGAGCAATGAACGCATTTCGGTCTATTGGCACCGCCATACTTTATTCAAGTTGCAACAGCCAAACAAAAAAAAAATTGTGTACATCACTAATTTTGTTTGTTTTCTTTCTTTGTTTTTCTACAGAATTTGTGCAGATGATGTGTGGAGGCAAGTGATCATCACGTGATCAGATCCCCCACCTTCTCAATTGTACATACAGATACAGTTTTCTTACATTGTTACTAAAACTCAGCAAACTGCCGAGGAGTTGTGATATTCAACTGGTAGGATTTAGTTTGCATCGATAACAGGCCAGCTTGCCAGGAGAGGTACTGTCTAGCAAAGGAACTTTAGATAATTTTAGACAAGAGTAACATGCCTTGTGCTGTAGTCTTGCCTTCTATGTTTCTGGGTTGTATGGACACATATTTTCTATTCTGTAATAATGGAAGAGTGTTATTCTTATTCTTACTTAGATGTCTGTACGTACGTGTTTAGCAACTGCTGAACACATAAGAAACATGTTCTTGTTGGTTGTCTCTCAAACTGAATGTAGCTAAATGAATATGGTGGCAATAATGTATCGATATATCTTAGAGGTTCTGAAATGAACTATCATTTTGAAAGATTCATTTGAACCGGTGAAATCATACTGTTTGAAATGCTGTACATTCCTGCGTCTTGTAAACTGTTTGTAACTCCTAAATTGTGTAGCCCGTGAATGCCGTCCAATGTCTGTAAGCAACAGCAGATACATAGCAGACTCTTTTTTACGATTAAACGTTTTCTAAAACAGCATGCATCTAACGTTATATCTGGTCTCCTTATAACAACACGCAACCGTCGATTTTTCAGTCCACAGCCTTTAACACTGGTTCATCTTCCAGTTCCACAGTTACAGTTCCCACTGCAGCCTTCGGTATTCTTCGCCCATGGCGTTCGGCTGTGGATATGGAGATACAATAATGTCAGGGACAGATAAAGAATCGAATATGAAAATGACAATCATGTGAACTGGGAGTCCAAAGGTGTAAGAAGTAACAAAACGAAGGAAGAACAAATGAATGAATGAAAGATGTACAGACGAATAAAATGGATGAATGAATGATTGATTGGTTATACTAACGTTGGCTACCTAGAACATGGATGAAAAGATCAATGGACGGATAGGTGGATGGAGAGCATTGTCAGTACAGTGGTGACCGTACTATTCTTACCTGTAAGTACTGAGGATCTCCCTGTAGACACCTAGCGACGCTCTCCCAGTAGTGCAGCGTTGTGTCGCTCAGGTAACCGTTAGGCCCGCCCAGGTGTATCCGTGCGAAGTCCTGACAAGTGGGGTCGTGTCCTAACACCGGGGCGCCCCGCCTGTGCTTCACAGCGTGCCGCCTCATGTACCCGTCCACCGCCCGCCGACTACACGTCCACGACACCGCACAGCTCTGCCAGTCTGAACAATTCAACAATAAGAAAACAAACATTTAGTTCAGATCAGCCTCGGGAAATTTTCGTTTGTGCCTTTATTGAGCCTTGAAAATACATAGATCAATTTGGTCGCGACCCTAAATTAGGGTTAGCTAACCCAAAATAAGGGTTTCATAACCCTAAATTAGGGTTTCATAACCGTTTTCACAAACGTACAATAAAGGTCATTCATTCATTCTTTCATTCAATATACTGTAAAAATGCAAACCGGCAGACAGACAAACCCTGAACCTACCGTCCATGAGATCCTCCCCCATCCCGCGCGCGTCTGTCCAGTAGGCGCGGCTGATCCGGTACGGCCCGCACACCAGGAACCCCGGACCCTGCAGCACACACGGGGGGCTGGGCATGCGGCATCCCGGGGTCAGCACACGGCACATGCAGTCCATACACCTGTCGGGGACATACCCCGCAAGAGCCCCTGGCAGAGTCACAGAGATCACGGCGAGGAAAACGGACAGGCTTGCGGCTGCAGGCTGCATCTGAGAGAGATGAAGTGTCAAAATTCTGTAATCTTAAAGAACTAATCGTTGTGCTTAATTCGACATACCACATGGCCAGATAATGAGATACACAAGTAAACTGTATTAGATGTTGAAATCTGCCAGGCGTTTCAAGTACATGTAGCATCTTCGACGTCAGTGACTAACGTCAATGACTTTCGTCAGTGACTATATAAACATAGTGCTATTTGCTGACAAACTCGCGTCAATACTGGAAAATAGGTCTTTGCTACTTCCGGGTTAACAAGTCACATATTACTTCAATTACCGATTCAAGTGATTGCTTCGACGTCATATTGTCTACAACGTTTTTTTTTCATTGTCAAAACAGAAATGTAGAAGTGCAGTCGGTCGCCATCAAACTAAAAGAATTAAACAGACATAACAAGTAAATATATGCACTATCAAAATCAAATTAAAGTTTTTGTATGCGACTGTGATACATAGCATAAACACGAGCATGTACGGTTCATTGGGTAAATGAAAGTTGTAGGTGTGACCAAAGGTCATTTTATTCCAGTGCATGGCAACATGTAAAAAATCAAAATTGTTACCAACGTTCACTGACATTTCTAGTATGATACGCTGCAGATCGATAAAGACGTCTCGGCCTTGCTGTCTTGAAGACCTCGGGAGTGTATTTATGAATATTCAGATCTGCTTCATAATTTTCGAAGCCTAGTAGGTTTTATGAGGGCTCGGCCACCAAGCCGTCTGACTATGAATTGTTTCTTTACGTATACATTGGTTGAGTTACCGATATTCTAGTAGTGTGGTGTTAGCTAATTGTAAGCACTCGCTAAAACACCAGCTGATTTGGGGAAGATTTCTTACCTTGGCGGATTTCATCAGGTTTGTCCTAGATCTGGAAATGACGATTGTGTGCCCGGTCACCTGAACCGGGAAGTCGTTGAAAACAGAAAGAAGTTGTGACGTCTCTCTGTGTGTCATCCAGTGGACGGGCTTACCCTGGTCGTCAGGGAGGAATACGTTTATCTTAAACTCACATTATTCCAGCAGATGAGCTCACATCCGTCGCAAGAAGTCAAGAAATGTAACACTCCAAAGACATAGCTAGTTAGGGCACCTGCTGAAGTTAGTGCACCTCCTCACGAGCGCCATCTAGCAGCAACGATATGCAATACAGGGAAACCAACTACAACGAAAACACACACACACACACACACACACATACACATACACACACACACGCACGCGATTCATACATTCATACATTTTATTACAATTTTGGCATCTGTCATCGTTTAAAACAGCAGATGCCTACTGAATAAAAACTGTACAGGTGAAGCTACAATAACTGATCGCTACACATGTACAATTACAGTACTGGTATTTGGCTAAATTTCTTTGGCTAATACGCTCTTTATTTTCATATTGCAGTAGGGTTATGTTAGCCTGGCTAGGGTTATGTACTCGTGCTCCCAAGATGACTGATATTAGACTAAGGTTACCTAACTGAGACAGCTGATCTGAGCAGCAGACTTATATAAACCCCCTGTATCCCCACGGCCTCCCTTTTCACTCCGAGAGGTCCCCAAACAACTGTCGGAGATTGTTTATCTACAGCGATAGAACAAACTTTGATAAGAGAAGTGTCTGTGACGGCAGCCAGCTGGGGGTACAGGGTTAACGGACGGTCCCCGGGGTCTCAACGTGGGGGCAGATCATTAATCATATGGATGATTATGGCTGAGATTCTAGTTTGATGTACATTCATTATCATATACACGATGCCTGAAATTTGAAGAGTACATCAAATCTTTGAAAACTGTTAAAGTATGTGTCATGTACCATGTATGCGTTGAATAATTCTTGGAAATGTTTATTGAAATGTTCATTTGTATCACAATATGATGTAATGTCCCAACATTTCAGCCTATTGCCATTGGCTGCCACTGTGCTTTGATAGGATAAAACATCGATATACATGCATACGGATGCAATATATATCGTCCTTGAATTTTGGAAAATGCAAAAATTACATAACTTGGATGTTGAAGACGAAGGTTGAATACGTGTACGTGTGATGGCATATCACTTCTGCGGTTCTCTACCGACTCCCCTCGGAGTGTGATTCGGCACGAGAATGACATGATCCCGTGCACAGTGTGACGGGAGCCCCTGTACTGCTGTGTGTGTCACCTCGCACCTGCTGCACCTGTCTGTCTGCAGGGACACAGCAGCTGTCTCCTCCAGCTGTTTCTCTTGACAGAAAGCCCAAAAGGCTCCAAGCAGAAGTTTAGACGATTTTATGAGCTCAGATTCGATTGCATAATTGACCATATTGCCACATATGTACACATATAATATGCCAAAATTGTTCCCCATTCCTTGTGTCCATTTTTCATCATCATCATCACCATTCATTCAGGTGATTTTAAAGAAAACAAAAGTACTAGAAGCCAGAAATTACACGATCTAACTACTAGTAACACGTCTGTCAATTGAGTAGCTCAAGTATAACTTATACCGCCCTCACAGTTTCGTTGGAAAATAGATGTAGAATCCCGAGCTGTGTGACTAATGGTTTACAGCATCTGTTGTTGGATGTTACATCTGTAAGATTACCATTAATCGCTGGGGGGAGGTTACAGTCGGGATACAAGTGTTTCTCTGTGGGAATTATCTATCTAGGGGCATTGTCAATGCCATTACTCACTGATAAGTTGCATCACAAAAATCAATATTTTGGATTATGGAATATTATTGCATCACGAATTCTTTATAAAAAAACACACTATGAATAGTGGTGAGCTGAGCAGGCATGACCTCCTTATCAATCAACTGTCAAAATCACACCCACTCCACCCACCACACAACCAAAGACATGTATGGTAAATGATAGATTATTCATTTTCATGTCTTCACATCTTCCTCTTTTCCTTTGGAATTGATTTTGGGATAATACATTACTATCCATTTTTCTGGAATTTACAGCATATGTAAAGCTCTTTTTGCAGATGTTTTGTACAGTATGGTCGAAAACTTTTTTAGGAAACAAATGAATATCTATGCGCCCATGGATTTCATCCATATAATCAAATCAACATGGCTTAAGTAACAATACTAAGAATTGAGGCATATAAACCAAGTAAACACACAGACACATAAATGCACTGATGAAGACACAGTAAAGGCTGTATTGAAGTAATCCTTTCGACAGGTGGCTTCACCATCCATACTTGCAGTAAAAATAGTGGTACTTATGTACAAAGACTGTTAAAAGCACCTAATCCTGATATCCCTTGATATATATATAAAACAAGCCCTATATGCTCTCGATTCAACCAACATACCTACAACATACACGTTTTTTTAGTACAATTGTTTGCGTAACCTAGATCGTAAGTGCTAGCAAAATGACACAGGAAATTAAGTACATATACAATTATCTAAGTTGCAAATAATAATTACCCAACATTGACAGATTCAACCAAACCATACCTTACACTTCTCTTCATCCAAAAATACCAATTTCTGCCACAAAAACTGACATCCCAAATGTTTTACCCTCACAATGACCTATTCACACACGATATGTTGAGGAACAGAATACATCAGATTGTCCCGAATATGCAAAATTAAATCATACTCTGGGGCCAGGCAACTTAGAAGTTCATGGCCAAAGCAGAAAGCATTAGGCTGTGGCAGCTTTTTTTTGTGTATTCAGATATACATGAACTTTAAGATACAGTATGCGAACTCTGATGTTCCATTCACTGCCTACCAACATCATGAAATAATTTGATTGACAAGTCATGTGACAACTCCATTAGGCCCTGTAGGTGGCCGTTGCAGTAGAAAACAGTGCCTGTAATAAGTGGGCAAGTGAAGCCTCTATAAGCATATTTATTTTCCTCATGTCAGCTGGTTAGCATATTATAACAAAATGCTTGCAGTGGCATTTCTAATTCGCCAACACTTACAGGCACTGTATCATTTTGCAAAGGCCACCTCTTTTGACGACAATCGCACTGCTTCCCAGGGAAGATATTTCCAATACAAAGATTTCAATCAACATATCGAACAGTTCATGTATACCTGGAGTGTTTTTAAGCATATTATAAGGCATCATCCCATTTCTCTGCTTCCAAATTTGTTTCTTATACACGATTGCAGACATACAGACATTCTCACACCAAGGGAGCTAGCTCTCTCTCCAACAACATGAAAAATATGGTCCCCTTTTGTGCTGTACAATAACTATCATCTGGCCAAATCTTACTTTTCAATGATACACACACACTTATGATCTCTTTCTCCAAATAGATATTTACATGGAAATGTCAAATGCATCTTTAAAATGTTGAATGCCATAATATACCCCTAGTGAGCATTGCGTTTATTGCTAGGTGTGCCCTACTTATATTAACCCTGGCGGTGCAAAATGATCAAGAACGATGTTTCACATTATCAGAAAATTACCACCGATATTATTCACTTTTACAATAAATATCCACTGTGCAATGGTGGTCCCACGGCTAAGAAATCTCCAAGCAGATACATGGTTGTGGCTTCATTTTTGTACACCCTTCTGGTGGCAGGTTGTTTATTTTCTAGACTAGACCACATGTAAAAGGTATACAAAAACAAAGAACAAATCTACTGGGACATTGTACGCTACATTCTGTCAACAAATATCCATAAATGAGACAAGCAAAAACTGAGAAAGATTAGGCCTACCATAGTTAGCAAGAAATCTATGCATTACTGGGAAGATGAGTTGGTTATAAAAGTCAGCAGGTGTTCTGTTAGTGACCTCTGACCTATCTCTACTGGGGCGTTTTTCACTTGAGGAAATTTTTGGTTTTAGTAAAAGTTTCACAGTCAGAATCATGTTCAAGAATTTTTTTCCAACAAAAAAACAAAACAACAAATACATCCCAATACTACCCAAAAGGAATATTAATTCGGTGGCAATGATTTACAACTATACATACAAAGAACAACTTGAACGTCTTTGACAATCTATGCCTTCTCGTTTGCATCTTGTTCTAGATTCCTTTACTGGGTGGCGTAAGGAAAGCATGGGGCATGTTCTGTTACTTTCCCTGCAAATGTTAGCTTAGTACGACTGACTGAGTATTACAAGCCACAGAAAGGTAGGAATGCAAGATGGCTGCTGTCCGGTTTAAATCGGAAGATTACTGGTGTACATGACAATGTTTTGCAGGACGTTACTGATGAATTCTATACAGAAATTGTTTCTTCATACAGAACCCTTGCTGAATCTTCCCTTTTATCAGAACATACAGTCTCATAATAAGAACTAAAACGAAGGACAACTGTGACTATAGGTTAATACAACTGTCTGGCCAGAAGTTTTTTCACGTTCAACATTTCGGTAAAAATTGCCCACCACTGTGAATAATTAAAGGCTTGTTATTAGTTCTTTTACACCTTTTTAAGTTGCAGCTATTGCCTTAGTTTCTCCGTAACTAGTTATCACACAACGGCAGGCTTTCCATTTCTTCATGTGTTATCTCTATTGTTTGTCTATTAGAAGTACTTTGTAAGTAACTAGCCTGTTACGCCCCCCTCCCCCATCATAGCGTATACACAGCACTGTCCTGGTCTGTTTTACTGTTGGTCTGTTCTTCCTTCCTCCTCCTCTTCTTCTCCATCCTGCTCGCCGTCCTGTTCAGGGGAGGGCACGCTCCCGTTAGTTTTCGTGACTACCACGTCTCTAATAATGTCCTCCTCCTCGTCACTTTCTTCCTCCTCTAGCGTTTCGTCGTTGTGGTACGCCTCGTTAGAGTACGACGACTCCCGCGCGCCCTTGTCGTTCAGTAACGGTTTGTCGTCCGTGGACGAGCCGCCGGAATGTCCCGACCCCACCGACGTGCTGAGCGAGCCCTTGCGTACCGCATTGTTCCGCTGGTTGGCGGGCTTCACCGTTATGATCAGGTTGTGGCTGTTGGCCACCATCATGTCCGTGACTTGGTCCAACGATTTCCCGAAAACCTCGATGCCGTTGACTTCCAGGACTTCGTCGTTCACTGCCAGTAATCCGGTGCTCTCCGCCAGACCGCCCGGAACCAGTCTGGAGATGAAGATGCCAGGAACCTTCTCGAGTCCGTGTGGGGTGACCCGCACACTCGTGCCGTCGCGAATGTAGAAGCCCAGGGGTTTGTCGGAGCCGTGCTTGTGTAACTTGACCCTGCGGTACGTCTCCGGGACGATGTCCACGTCGATGATGGCGGACACTCGCCGGAAGTCCTGCGGTTGGCTGATCTGGAGACGAGGCTTCGGCTTCTGGTTGGACAGCGGTCCTGGGAGCCCGAACTTCTTGCTCTTGTTCAGAGTTCCGTAACCGTTAAACTCGCCTTGGTCTTCACCTGCAGAAACAGCAGCAACAAAACAGGTTATACCATTGGAATCAAATAACACAAACATGATACTGCACAAGGATTTATATACTTCTAGTTCTACACTCATTTGAATGTTTGAACATCTCTCTTTTCCTAACAAACTCTCTGTAAATGCATGAAATTACATTTACACAATTTGTAGTTTACTGGTTATCGGTAACTACATGTATAATCATATAAATATTGTATATTGAATTTGACATTCAAGTTCTACCGTATACCCGAAGTAAGATGTTGTATAAAATCCATGAAAAAATATAACAGTACATAGCAACCTGCTGCAAATGCCAAGAATTCAAAGCGCTCTTGAAATTCTAGAGCCTATTCTGTCAAGTCAATGGTTCTTGTGTGAGCACATTTGACGTCTACAAGGGCATCAACATTAAAGTCAAGATGTTCTTGAAATACCAGAGCCCATTCTGTCTTGACTACAGGATTTGTGGGTGTGAATTCGGTGTCCACATTGATGTTAACATAAAAGTCATGTTATGGGCAGTGCACAGAAGACAAATCCCATGTTCTGTGTACAGTCAAACCTGTACTAGCGGTCACCTTTGTATAGTGGTCACTCGGCCATAGCGGTCAGTTTTTGCCGGTCCCTTGAATTTTTCCCATTGACGTAAGCATTAAGAATCGTGTCTATAGCGGTCACTGTTCAACGCGGTCAGCGGTCACCCCATTCCGGTCCCGCCGGCATGTCAACACCGCCGATAGCGGTCGCGGCTGGCCGTAACCCGCTAAGCACCACGGCCGTAACACCACCCCACCTCGGGCTACGACCGTTATGAGCCTTGTGATAATTTTCCGATCGCTACATTACTAAAATGTGAACTGAAAATTAGACTCCATATGTGTATGAAATAAAGGAAAACTGACTTTTGACACGAAGTTTCTGCGGTCGCGGGTGTCTTTGATATCTGCGTTTTCCCCAACACCAGTGCCGTGCGTGCCGCATGGGGCTTTCAATGGACTCGGCCGCTCGGCGAAGATTACGGCAAATTATCTTTACAAAAAAACTTAAGAATATCCATATTTGGTTTCTCGATTCCTTGAAATGCGTAGATATGTGCATAGCTTCCGTTTTTCATGGGCATAATTAAAGAAATTTGGCTCGAAAATGCGTTTCGTATTTTTCCAAGATGGCGCATGCATGTTAGCTGCAGAGGGAGGTCAATTGGGGTCATCGGAAGACTCCACTGTTATGGAGGTAGATACACCGAGTTTTATTTAACTTCATTAGCGTCAAATGACGTAATTACATTATAAAAACATTTGAAATACATTACTACAATTAATGTTAGATGTAAATTTAACACTGTAGTGGATATTTTAGAAAAGATATAAGTCTGAAAGGAGAAAATTTTATGTTGACTACCACATTGGCATAATGGTAGAGGCAGACAACCCACGCGGGGAGAAACCCAAGCCGTAAACAAAGGAGAGTTTTCGCTAAGTTTTCATGTTCAAAAACGACCAAAAACGGAAAGTAACTGGCAACTGACGAACAATTATTTTGCTGTTAACTAAATAGACAGCATCTTGGTACAAAATAACTTATTTACGTGGTTGGAATTCGCTGTGGCGTATGTCGGTCGCGCGAAGCAAGTGTTCACCAAAGAACAAAAACATGGCGATGTCGTTCTCTTCCACTTTTCGACTAACAACAACAACTACTAGTAACGTGGCGATTGCGGAGAAACGATGGCGAAAGCGGAAAGACGGACGCCAAACTTATTCCAAAAGGTGGAAGTGATTCGACTGGCAGAGAGAGTGATAAGAAATCGTCGAAAGCTGAGCTTAGATTAAATGATTTTGCAGTCGATAGAAATTTGTTTGGAGTTGAAAGTTTGTTGCTTGATTTGCTTTCTTTTCCTTAGCCACATGTAGTACTAGTATGTACACAAGAACAGTAAATGACAACCAGTGATTTTGTATGTTTTAAATTATGTGAATGGTTTCATTGTCCCAGAATAGATTAACTGAATATGTTGAGTGTATGTATCTTTGATGTCAAGTTAATGTTTCCATGCAATATTTCTGTATTTCTTTTTTTTCTAAGCAAGTACAAAATAAAGTACAACTAAAGCAAAAGAACAACAAATTATTTAACTAACACATGTACATATAAAAGGGGTTTACCTTTGCAAATGTATGTATTCATATGTTTCAGAATAAAGACATCACTGTTGGTACTCAAAGCATGTGTCCCGTTTTTTTTTGGGGGGGGGGGGGGTCAACTAACCGGCTGTTTCTCTATAGTGGTCACCTGGCCATAGTGGTCAAATTTGGCCAGTCCCTTGAGTGACCACTATAGGCAGGTTTGACTGTACATTATATAGCATGAAAAGTTAAGCTTCTCAAATCCATTATGGCACCTGAGTATTTACAAGGTCACGAACAGCCAGCAAACAAGGTCATATAACAGGACCCTTAAACGTTGTGCATTACAA